TCAGCCGTGAAAGGAGACAGATTCCTGGGGGCCAGCTGCTCTCAGCACAGGTGCGTGTTCAGGAGGCTCTTTCTGATGTCAGATAGAGAATGTCCTTCCAGATTGCCTCTAGCTGGGTGCTCTTCCCCGCCCCCCCCCCCCCCAGCAGGGTACCTGCACAGAGGAGGCTCCTCAGGGCAGCGGCTGCTCCATAGGCACCTACTGGCTCTGAGTCCATCCTACCCCAGCCTCGCTCTACCCCTCAGCCCCAACTTTCAATCTCAAGCCCATTTTAAAACCTTTTTGTATTAAAAAAATCTGTAAATTCATATATCTTAGAATAATTGTATTGGGGCCAAAGTGTCCCTAACAGTACAAAGTATCAGGTTCCAGTAACACCCGTCGATTGAAACATACCCACACACAGCAGAAGCCATTCCAGTATTTGTTTCTCTTTTTTTTTCTGGAAGTTTGTGCTGTGTGACCACCGTCACCATCACCAGCCCACCTGCCGTTGCAGCCCCGAGTCTGCCCTGTGTCTGTGAGTTCGGTTATGTTTTTGTGTTTTTAGATTCCACACGTAAGTGAGCTCACGCGGTATGTACTTCTGTTGAAAAAGATAAAGGGCAGATTAGATGGGATTTAGCCACGTTAGATTTGAATTATTCACTTTTACCTGCATTTGGAAAAGATCCATTCATACAAAGGCCTGAGAAGTTTTCCCGAACGTGCTCCACCTGTTCTCCGAGGGGTCCTGGGCTGGCCGTGGGCAGCTGCAGGGTCAGGGTGAGCCTAGGGCTGAGGCCTCTGTGGAAGGCAGGCCTGGACAGACAGACCGTCCCTGAACACAGAGCATCCTGGACATACAGAGCGTCCTGGACAGAGCGCCATGGACAGAGCGTCCTGGACAAACAGGTGGACCTGGGCAGGCCCGTGGGCTGGGCCCTGCAGGGCCAGCCTTGCAGGAGCTGTCGCTATTGTGACATTGCCCTGGAGGCTGATGAAGATGTAACCCCACGGAGCTGTTGGCTTGGAGCCCGAAGTCACATGCTGACATGCTGCCTCCTGCAGGTGTTTGTTTACTTGAAGCCATTTCACAGCACAGATCTTGAAGTGAGGAATGCATGCATGTTGCTGGGTGTTTAGAAGAAGATTAATAGATTATTTGTAACTCCTTAATGAAAACATTACGCACGCCTCACAGCCGGCTCTATCCTGCTCATTTCCAGGCTGCTAATTGCTGGGGCATATACGCTCTATTGAGAAATGCAGGGCCATCCATACTCTAAGCCACATTCATTAAAATATAATTGCTCTAATGAAATTCTTATGGAATAAGGCATAGTTCAAACAAAGCATTGCCTTCCTAAGGGTTGATTTTCCTGGCCAATTACGGAAATGACTGTGGAATATCTAGCGTTACTTCAATGGGTTTCTCCTGGTAAATCCATCAGAGGGAACATTCCAGAATCTCGTGGGGCTCACTCGGGCTGTTGGGACCTCCCAGTTTCATCTTAGAAACTCTCCAATGGTTAAAAACTCCACAAAATAGCCCTGGCAGGTGTGTCTAAGTGGTTAGTGCATTGGCGTACAGACTGAAGGGTCTCAGGTTTGATTCCTGGTCAAGGGTATGTATCTGAGTTGCAGTTCATTCCCTGGACTCGTATGGGAGGCAACCAGTCAATGTGTCTCTCTCACATTGATGTTTCTCTCTCTCTCCCCCCTTCCTTCCTTCCTTCCAATAGCTCTCTTAAAAAAATAAAAAAACTGGAAAAAATATCCTCAGGGGAGGATTAACAAAAAAAAAAACTTCCAAAAAACTCCACAAAATAATGCAAACCCCAGTGGCTCTCTGGCTCCCCCTGGAGGTGAGAGCTGAGGCAGCTCTGCTTGCTGTGAGGGTGTGTCCAGGACAGAGATGGGTACTCTGGACGGAGTCCCTAGACCTCTGACCAGACTCCCTGGCTTAAGGAGGCCGGAAGCTGGGTCGCCTCAGGTGAGCTGGTTTGCGATGCAGCCAGGAGGCCAGAGAGCAGCTGCCTCCTCTCACCAGTGGACCTATTTTTAAAAAAATATGTTTAAAAAATTGATTTCAGAGGAAGGGAGAAGGAGAGAGAGACAGAAACATCAATGATGAGAAAGAACCATCAATTGGCTGACTCCTGCACAACCCCCACTGGGGAATTGAGCCCGCAACCCAGGCACCTGCCCTGACCGGGAATTGAACCTTGACCTCCTGGTTCATGGGTTGACTCTCAACCACTAAGCCACACTGACTGGGCTCCCCAGTGGTCTTTTTAAAGCAAATTAATGAGAAAGGAGCTGGACAACTGCACGGTGTTAAAATTGACCTTTCACACCAGGATGGAGCCCTCTTCTCGCCTCAGCAAGGCCCTGGGCTCCTCTGGGACTGTTGCCCGCCTATAAAGAGGGGGACAGCACACACTGTGAACGGGGTCAGCCTCAGGTACCCCTTCCTTGCTGGGACAGATTTGATCATATTTGCTACGGGATTCCCATTTTTGAAATCTGATTGAAATGATTTGGCAAATGGGCGGGTCATCCTTTGTCCCTGTTCCTGCTGTACCCGTGCCCCATGGCCCCAGGCTGTCCCCACAGAGCTAAAGCACAGACTAGCCACCCCAACTGTTCCCCCCCCGGGGCGCCCTGTGAGCCCACTGGGCAGGTCCCGCTCCCGTGGTGACAGGCCAGCGTCACAGGGCAGGAGCTATACACCTGGTGCACCGTCTTCATCTCTGTCCACGACAGCGGGGTGACAAGTTAGACTGTGACCATCTCCCGCTGGTCTGAATCTTGTCTGAGGCCAGGCAGCCGGCAAGTGGCAGGAAGAGTGTCGGCCATGCCATCTGCAGGTGAGGCTGGTGGTCCTGGCTGTGGTCTTGCTGGCTGGGACCCCTGAAGGCAGGCCTCTGGCTTGCTCCTTACGGTGGCCTGTACTCAGCCAACTGATGGTCTGAGGCCAGGACGTGAGGTGCCCAGGTGCCTCGCCCTCGAAGGCTCCCTTGTTGGTCCCCGTGGTCCCCGTGTGCAGCCCGGGCTCCAGGAACTGCAGCTTGGTGGCCTCCTTGGAGGACAAGCTCAGAGACTGTCTGCCTGTGAGCTCAGTGCTCAGGCTCCGAGATGACCATGAGTTTAAGCACACAGCAGTGGGACGTGCTCCTAACCAGTGAGCCCAGGTTTTGCCTGGGAGGTGCCAGCGGCTGTCCCCACGCTCCACGCCTGCCCCCTTTGGAGTCTGATAGCCACACTGAGCACACACGGGGGCCAGGCCCTCAGGGACGGAGCCCTGGCCGCTGTCTCCTGGCAGAATCTGGATGGAGAGCCTAGTACCTGTAGAAGCCCGGATGTGACAGCCCGAGGGGCCCACCGGCATCTGCGGCATCTGACCCTGCTGCGGGGCTGGGTGCTCCCACAGGTTCCCAAGGGCTTTCCCCCACAGAGGGCTCCTGGGGCACCTGGACATGAGCTTCTCAGGGGAGCCCTCTCTGAGGAGGGAGGGAGGGTAGGAAGGAGCTGACAGGAGTAGCAGGTGGTCCTAGTCAGGTGACAGGTTGATGGTTTCCTCTACCCCCCTGACAGGGGCTGGGCTGGTGCCCGTCCTGGAGGCCTGCAGCCAGGCTCTGGTCTGTGGGTGGATGGAAGACGGTGACCCGCAGCCTGTGCCCAGCCCTGCCCTCCAGGGAAGGCTCCCGATCTGCACTCCGCCCCTGGTGACAGCTACGTGCTATGTGCATGGGCTACACCATCCCACAGAGATTTGAACAAGACTTGGGCAGCAAGATCTACAAAAGTCTGCCCCTCTCCAGCCTGTGGCACTATATCCTGGAGCAAAGAGGGGGTGTTAAGGGCAGTTCTGGGCTGGAATCCCCACCTCCAGGCTCATGTTGGGGTGCGGGGGGACCATTGATCGGGGGAGCGTCACAACCAGGCTCCCCAGGTCGATTGTGGAATGCGGGGGTCCAGCTCCGGTGCAGCCCTGGGGCCCAGTGGGGTGTCGGCAGCCTCCCCAGCCCCTGGGCCAGTGGCTGGTCTGGGGCCACAGTGCACACAGGCTGAGGTCTGTCTGGAGTTTGCGAGCAAACACGTCACTGTTCTCAGGTTTCTGTTTCTCTGGGTGGTGATGCCCTGCCCTGGGGCCAGCCCCCAGCCCGCCCCACGCCTTGGCTTCTCCCTCCGCCAGTCATCACCTCCCCCGCCCTCCTTTTATGGAAGGAAACTGAGGCCCAGGGACATTGCCAAGGTCACTGCTAATTAGTGGCGGAGCTGCTGTGGTTCCATTACGACACCGCCTCCCACAGCAGAGGCAGGGCTGGGACGCCAGCCGAGGGCCTGTGCCGACGTCTCAGCAGATCCCACACTCCTCACACGTCTGTCTCCCACCTCAGGACCCCCCAGTCAGGCGTGGGTCCCCGGGCCGGCCTCTGCAGGGAGCCCTGTCCACCCCCTGCCCCCTCAGGGGGAAAGGGTTCCCGTGTCCTGGCAGAAGAGCCTGTGGGCTGTGGGGCAGGCGTCAATGCGGGAAGCCTGAGGGTCTTAGGGCTCCCTGGGGAAGGGGTGCATGCCTGCTTGGGGGGTTGTCACACAGGGAACTGGATGGAGGCGCGGGGCCGTGCCTGGCTGCGTTCTCAGCCTCAGCGATGTGCGGCAGGCCCTTCTTGGGGGACCAGAGCTCTGGGGTCATGGTGGGGGTGAGGCGCTCAAAGGGCACCCGAGGGGCGGGGTGTCTGCTGGGCCGATTGGGCCAGACCCCTGTAGGGCCAGTGGCCCACAGAGCGGCCTTCGAGCTGGGTGGGTGGGCAGGAGCCTTGCAGGGCGTGTGCCCCTGGTGGGCAGGCCCCAGGTGCTCCGTGTTTCTCGGCTGCATCCACCCCACCCATCTCTTCCCACCCCGTTTCTTCAGGAAATGGTTTGAAGCGAAAACCTGCGTCTTTTCACCAGAGCTGGGAGGGGCAGGCTTAGGTGAGACTCCCCACCCTCACCCCCTTCTCCTGACTCGGGGGACGTGAGCAAATCCAGGTTGTAAGTGTGGGACGGACACACCGGCAGGGGGCTCACCAGCAGTGGGCTGGGGCAGGCGGCTCGGCCTCACAGGAGGATCTGTATGTATAGGGACCCGGTCTCTGCCCCTTAGAGGTGGGCGAATTTCTGCGCCAGGTGCTGGGCCTCGACCTCCTGCAGCCACAGAGGAGCAGGAGGTTCCCAGGGCCCTGCTCCGTCAGGCGCCGCCACCGCCTTTGTTATTTATGCCCCGCCCTGTTCCGAACAGGGATGGCATGCTCTCAGCAATGCAGGCCAAAGTCAGCCCGACAAGGTGGCTGAGCCCGTTCCCGCTCCGCCCTGCTCAGCACGGCTCCGGACCCTGGGCCAGAGCGGGAGGCACCAGAGGAATGCGGGAGGGACAAGAGGTCTGAGCCCAGGACTCCGAACACGAGGATGAAATACCAGCTGGGCCCCCATAGCCCACTGGCCACGGGCAGAGCGACCAGCCCTGCCTTCTCCAGCCCAGGTGGGCTCCTCCGCCCTGACCGACCTGCCTGGGGAGAGATGCCCGGAACCAGGCCAGGAGAGGGACAGGCCCTGGGGCCCCGGCACAGGCTGGGCGAGGGGCCCATCACAGGCGGTTACCAATAGGTTCTGGTTGGGTGCAGACAGGATGGGGCATGGGGAGCTGAATATGGGGTGCCCTGGAGACACCCCAGAGGAGGAGCCAGGTGAGCAATTGGACACACGATAGGGGTTAGCTGCATCTAGATGGTGGGCGAGCCCTGGACATGAGTGAGACCTGCTGGGGGCCAGACCGGCAGAGGGGTGGAAAGGACAGGCCTGGGCCTGGACGGAGCCAGCGTCGGGACCAGGGGGAAGGCCACAGGTACGGGGCTGGACCCCTTCGCCCAGGCCTGCAGTTCAGCTGCCCCTGCGCCGAGGGAGAGGCAAACCGAGTCAGGACACAGGGAACATCCCTCCGCAGCTGGGAGGCCTGCCTCCTGGTGCTTTCCCCCAAATTAAGGAGAAAACAAAAAATTTTCAAAACCGGCGTTTGTCCTTTGTCTGCCATTTGTTTCTCCGTTTCATTTTTCTTTTTCTTCAAAATCTTCACCCAAGGATATTTTCCATGGATTTTTTTTTTTTGAGAAAGAGAGAGAAACATCGATGCGATAGAGCAGCGGTTCTCAACCTGTGGGTCGCGACCCCTTTGGGGCTCGAACGACCCTTTCACAGGGGTCGCCTAAGACCATCGGAAAACACATATATAATTACATATTGTTCTTGTGATTAATCACTATGCTTTACTTATGTTCAATTTGTAACAATGAAAATACATCCTGCATATCAGATATTTACATTACGATTCATAACAGTAGCAAAACTACAGTTATGAAGTAGCAACGAAAATAATTTTATGGTTGGAGGTCACCACAACATGAGGAACTGTATTAAAGGGTCGCGGCATTAGGAAGGTTGGGAACCGCTGCAACAGAGAAACATTGGTCAGTTGTCTCCCACAGGTGCCCCAGCCAGGGCCAGGGATTGAACCCGAAATCTAGGTACGTGCCCTGACTGGGCATTGAACCCATGACCTTTCAGTGTATGGGACAGCACTCCAACCTGCTGAACCACACTGGCCAGGGCCTTGTAGTATCTTCGCGTGGACCCTTTTAGATTATCGATCATCATTGAACATGGTGAGTTCTCTTTAGACCTTCCATTTGCTAGGAGTTCACGCGGGTGATGGCCAAGGAGTGTTCCAGAACCGAGGGAGGGTTCCTGGGTCAGCAAAGCCTCTCCCGTGCACCTCTGAGCACCTGGTGGGACTGCTCACCTGGACTTCTTCCCAGCCACAGAGGTCAGCCGTGCAGGAGTCACAGAGGAGCTCTCCCTGGCCCACCTCACCAGCAGGCCACTGTGGGGGTTTCCGTGTCATCTGTGACCCCCCAGAGCCCATGTCCCCGACCCCTGCCCAACCCTCCCGCAGCAGCCCTCTCTGGGCAGGGCCCCATCCCGGTGCTGTCTGTGACCTTGCTGGGGTCCAACCCCAGCAGGTCCAGGGGTCCCCAAAGGTGTGGACAGAGTCGGCGAAGAAGGAATGACACAGAGGCAGCGTTCAGTTGATCAGCATGGTTGGGTTCTCTTGCCTGGTTCTATTGCCAGGTTCTGTAGGTTCTCTAGCCAGGTTCTCCAGGTTCTCCAGGCAGGTTCTGTAGCCATGTTCCCTTGCTAGGTTCTCCAGCCAGGTTCTGTCCAGGTTCTCCAGCCAGGTTCAGTCACCAGGTTCTAGTCAGGTTCTCTTGCCATGTTCTATCCAGGTTCTGTAGCCAGGTTCTGTCTCTAGGTTCTTCAGCCAGGTTCTGTCTCTAGGTTCTTCAGCCAGGTTCTGTCTAGTTTCTCCAGCCAAGTTCTGTAGCCAGGTTCTGTCCAGGATCTTTTGCCATGTTCTGTCTCTAGTTCTGTGGCCAGTTTCTGTGTCTAGGTTCTGTGTCTAGGTTCTGTGTAGGTTCTGTGTAGGTTCTGTGTCTAGGTTCTGTGTCCTGTTGTCTTGTTACATCTGTATTTATACCAGTTGATTCTAATCCTATCAATCTCTATTCCAAAGGTTAGGGCGTTTCTTATCTCCATTCCAGGGAGTAAAGATTATGTAGCTTAAGCATGATTGTTCGTAGTTAAAGTGATTAATTACCCGCCTGGCACTTAGTTAAGGGGTTTTATTCCCTCCCTAACTTCAGGGAAAAATCCCTACCTGGGGAAACAACCTTTCTCGGAGAGGTAACCTTGGTTAAAACACACAGTGCCAAGAAGGTGAGCAAACATATTAAGAACAGTATGCCATATATGCCAGGTCCCTTGAAACAGCAAGGATGGACCGGCTCCCGGCATGACCTGTGGGCTCTCTTCCTGTGTCTCCAAGACACCCCTCCGAGCCTTGCTGTTCCCAGGTGGTTTCAGTGAGGACAAAGGACAGAGGCAGCTGCTCACTATTTTAAGGTCCAAGTCTGCATACGTGTTTTTCAACATTTATCAAATTATATCTAAGTCACCGTGGCCCGAGATCCGTGGTTGTCAAGGGGGCGTGTCTGGTCTTTACTGTGCTAGTGAGAGAGGACCTGTTGGTCGTGGCAGCAGACTCAGGGGCCCGAACATCACCAGCTCCGGGACCAGGTGCATCCCAGTCCCTCCCACGAGTGAGCGCCCAACACCACCTGAGCTCAGTGCTGCCCCCCAGCGGCGGTGTGGGCGAAGCTCTGCCCCACGTTGGTCACCTACTTGAGAAGTGGTGTTTCGTGGGGTCGTTTCCCACAGGGACCTTGATTCAAACCTAGGTCTCGGGGTTCCTTCTGTGGGGTCCAGACTCAGCCAGGCATGTTGTGGTCTCATTCCCGATGTGCGCGGGTCTCTGGTCCAGGCTCGCAGAGAGAGCAGCCCTGGCCACCTCCTTCCTAGAGAGTGGGGCCCAGCTCAGCCGCCTCTGCTGTCCCAGCACTGCTGACGCAGTGAGCTTGTTCTCCCGGCTCCATGGCCCAGGGCTGAGCCGACTGCCGGCTCACCCACCCAGGCCGCGCCCCACGGAGGGTCACGGTGCTCCTAAGGTCCAGCACCTTCTTGGTTCCCAATGAGAAGGACTTCATTCTGCATCCCAGCCTGGACATGTCCCGAGAGAGCCCGAGGTGGGCTGCAGCCAGGTGCTTCTGCAGAACGGCTCCGCCGCGCGCCAGGCCCAGGTGTGCAGGGAGCCCTGGGTGTGAGGAGGGACAGTAACTGACGGGACCCAGGTCCCTGAGCCCCCGCCAGCTCCGAGCATGGGGAGTGCAGACGGCGCCCTTCCACTGTCGTCGGTGCTCCCAGGGGTGGCGCGCAGGCCTCTTTCCTAAATGACCCGCACACGTGTCCACAGGGCCCGCTTGCGCGCGGGGGCAGTGGGGCGGGCGACGCCTTCGGAGTTGGCAGGTGGCGAGCCCGGCAGACCTCCTCAGGCGGCCGCAGGAAGGCGTCCCAGCAGGCCGGTTTGGACGGCGTCCGAGTGGGGTGAGGAGAGAAGGGAGTCTGGTAGCAGTAAAAACAATAATAATGAAAATGTCAGAAACGCAGCCAGCCCTTCAGGACCGTTTCACTCGTCAGGTTGTTTTTCTCTTTTATGACTTGGCCCGATTCTCTAGCGCAGGTCGCACCCTGACTCGCCGACATTCGGGCCGGACAGCTCGGCAGTGGGCGTCCCCTGTCCCGGGCCCTGTGGGTGCTGAGCAGCACCCTGACCCCTGCCCACCCGAAGCCAGCAGTCCCCAGACGTGCAGAGCCAGCGGGAAGGCATCTTTAGATTCCGGTAACCCCGGCCCTGCCCCCGGCCCCCACTCCTCTCCACCCTCCCGAGTCCTCCAGTTCCCGGCACCTCAGTCACACGTGTGATATCCCCTCCTCAGTTCTCAGAAGGTCTGCTTCGAACCCAGGAGAAATGACTAAGGGACGGGCCATAAACCAGCCTTCCCATTAGGCCCGGAGGAAAAATAAGCCACTTGTCCTTCTGGGCACGCTTCCCGAGGACCTTGGACGAGCTTCGCGAAGGCCTGTCCTCCTCCCACTCCAGCATCCTTCCCAGGGCTGGGCGTCGCCAGAGCGGCCGCGGGGCCGGCCTCCCGAGGGGTCTCCCGCCACCTCCAGATGGGGCCTCGGCAGCAGGCACCGAGGGTGAACAGGGTCAGTGGGCAGAGCGGCTCCAGAGAACGGCGCTTTTCACACTATTGCTAAAATATGGGTGTTTGCGAGGGTTGCTACAGAAACACTGAGTGTAGAATCCAAAATAGGGCGTCTAGACAAACTCCTACTGTCTGACCTTTGCTGTGTTTCCTCATCCACCCAACCTGGCCCAGCGAGCGGGTGACTAAGCAGTGAGTCACTCGACACCCTGTCACAGGCCCGACGAGGCCCAGGTCACTGCTGTAAATTTCAGCCTGTCTGCGCCGACGACGCGCAGCTCCCCACCGCCAGCACCGTCTCGTGTGGCTTCTGAGCCGCGATGTCTGGATCGTCAGGAACTAATGTCAAGTCTGTTAAGTCCAGAAGCCGAGGGACTGCCGCAGAGCAGAGCTCGCATTTGGCGGGAGCCGTGAGAAGGAAGGCGGCGACAGGCAGCTGGACCTGGACGGAGAGAGGCGCGACCTGCAGGCCTGTACTGCGGGGCCCGGGGCGCTGGTGCTGGCCTGCGGGCGGATCCTCTCGGCCCTGCACTGAGCACCTCCCCACAGCTGGCAGCTGTATCTCACAGTGGCCTGTGGGGCGGCCCTGATGCCAGGAGACACATCTGTGATCTGAATAAACTCAACATGCAAACACTTGACTTTGTAGAACTGGGGACTGGTTTATTTTTCCCAAACCCGGTGCCCTGAGTGTCAGGAACATGGGGCCCACGCAGCCCGGGGCATGGGTGGCTCTGCTGGGCGTGATCACAGCCACGGTGTGCCTGTGGGAAGGCAAGAGCCCTGGCAGTGGGACTGACAGTCCAGGGACCGCAGGGAAACACAGCTTCGCCGTGGATGTGGCTGAAGGACCCATGAGCATTGGGATTGGGGCTGTGCCGTTGGGACGAATCTGTGGTTTTAAAAACAGAAACAAGTAAGATAGGAGTTGTTTTATTGGGCAAGAGGCCCCTTTGCCAGGACAGTGTTGGTGCCATGGAGCAAGGGGGCTCTGAGCCTTCGAACGGGCACCAATTGGCCAGATGCTGTGAACTCTTCCAAAGGAAGTAGACAGCTCTCACCAGGCAGCATCACTCTTGGGCCCGAAGGTGTCCCAGAGCCACTCTGCAGCTGTGGTGGGGCCTGCGGGAGCCATGCGTGGCACTGAATGGTGGGCGAGATCCAATGGCCACACCTGTTCTGGGACGAGTGATCTTGACCCCTGGCCTCTCTGGCCTTCAGCTCCCAGAAAGAAAGGCTCAAAAATGTACTCACCACCCAATGTTTCTTTTCAAGGTTTTCATTTGCTCCCCTCCTACCCCCCGGATTCTGTTGCTCCAGGCTCCTTGAGGGATGTAAAGGGTCGGCCACAAATAGCAGGTGAGATGCGTCGCTGAGGTGTCACGGCTGGGCAGGCGGGCGATGACTGGCCGCAGGCGCAGAGCGTGGTATGGGCGCCTGCACCACGGCAGCACGGAGGATTTACTCAGTTACTGCTTAGTGCTCTCAATTAACTTTCTTTTAATAAAGAACATTTGCTGAAGAAAAGGATGGAGGCTGAAAACAAACCTGCATCCACGATCGAATCGGAATGACACAGGTCAGTGCTTCCTCAGCTGCCAGGGCTCCACCAAGATGAAGGCTGGAACGAGGGTTCGGGAGGAAGGGCATGGATTAGCGTGGGGCCAGGAGGGCGGGCGGAGCCTGCACCAGCAGTGGACAGTGTGCGTGTGCGTGTGTGTGCTCACATGTGGGTGTGCTTTGTCAGAGCCTGCGTGTGCACCCACTGCTCGCATTGTGTCCTTGGGGAGACGTTCCATGAATTCAGTCCTCCACTACAGATTCTTCGACAGCCATGTCTTGCAGATGCTATTTTTATTTAATGTTTGGATTTTGAAGGATGCTTTCCAAAAACGAACAGGAAGTTCTCCAACTACAAGTTACTTGTTTCCAAAAAAAAAAAAAAAAAAAAAAAGCCACATCATTTGCTACTCAGAACTCCGGTCTACCTCAGAGAGCATGCTGTACCAGTGGGCTTCCTCCGGCCACCTAGCCGGTGTGTCCTCTTCAGAACCCCATTAGAGCTCAGACCTGCATTTCAGCTGCCATAGTAAAGGCTGGAATAGAAGAAGCAGGGGGCTTATTTATACTAATGTGTGAATGACTGGTGGCTTTTTTTTTTTTAAATCCTCATCCAAGGATATTTTTCCATTGATTTTTAGAGAGTGGAAGAGAAGGGAAAGACAGAGAGAAATATCAATATGAGAGAAACATATCGATTGGTTGCCTCCTGCAAAAGCCCCGACCAGGGCCCAGGCTGAGGAGGAGCCTAAGACCAAGGTATGTGCCCTTGACCGGAATTGAACCTGGGACCCTTTGGTTCACAGGACAACACTCTATCCATTGAGCCAAATCGGCCAGGGCTGACTGATGGCTTTTTAATAGTGCATGTACATTTTCAATTTTAGACTAGGATCCTATTTAAACCAAATCTCTAATTGGTTATATTTCCCGGGGTTTAAGTGAAAATTCAGGGAGAGATTCTGGGGAGAACAGAGTCAGCCTCCATCAGCCCTTGAGATATACTCCAGCTCCCACCCACACCTGCTCCCTCCTTCCGAACCCACCACAGGCTGCACACTCGGAGCCATGGTGGCAGGACCCCCAGACGGGCTCCTGAAGGCTGTCGAAGACGTGGGCATGACGAGCGAGGCTCAGGGAACGTGTCGGAGAAGATGGTGCCTCAGAGCTGGGCCTCCCTGCCCCTCCTTCCAAATCCCTGCCTGGCACTCCCACCACAGGGCGGGGGCCTGTGCTATCCCCTCTGCTGCCTCTGGCAGGCCCTGCACAGCCGGGCTCCCAGGACTCCATGCCCCGCCTGGGCTGGCTGCTTCCTCCACAGCACGTCCTCCACCATGCCTGCCTCAGGCCAGAAATGCCACCGGAGGCTCCGGTCAGCCGTGGGGGCGCCGTGGAGGGAGTCAGGTGAGAGGGGGCCTCGGGGCTGCGCAGTGTTGGGCACCCAGTTCTTTCAGGGTTTGCCCGTGGACAGCAGGAGAGGTGACAGCGGGTGGGCAGGGAGAAGTCGCCTTCTTTCTACATTGTGACCAGCAGGACCAGGAGGCCCCCAACCTGGACAGAAAAGGTGGGGCTGCCTCCTTCTGCCCCTGTGCCCTTTGGGGCGCCCGAGCTCATGCTGCTATGATGCGTGTGGTCCATATCCCCGTGTGGTCTCCCTCACGTAGTGCTGGTCATGGTGAGATGTATGTGCTGAAGTAGTAAATTCATCTCAAAGGAATTAGTGCAGCACCAGCAGTGGGCTCTGCCCTCCGCCATCTCATCCCCAGCCCCATGGCCCCTGTCACCCCCTCCCTGTGAGCCGGTGTCTGTGTCCTGTTCTCCCCGGTCCCGTGATGGGGCACCTGGTGGTCTCCCCGCCCGGTGTTGAGGGACAGTGTGGGTTGGTGGATGTGGGGAGCGTGTGGGCCGGCTTGCTGGTCTCTGACCAGGACAAAGACTGAGGGAGACGTGCTTTATTGGTCAGCGAACCCCTCTGGGCCCCTGTGACATTGGGGGCATAGGCTGTCCCCCCAAAAGGAGCTTGGCCATGCGATCCTCTCTGGTCAACAGAAGGGGTGGAGGGAGGGAATAGAGACCTTAACCGCAGGAAACAGGACGGGCCTGGGCCTGGAGGGGAGAAGCCACCAGGCGGGAGGTCTGTTAGGGGTCAGCCCACCGACTCCCTGCGCCTGAGGCTGGAAACCAGGTGTCTTCACTGCATCACCTCCTGGCCTCTCCCTCCATGGCTGACCTCTCTCTGTGCCCCTGGCTGATTTTCGTCACTTCCTCCTCTGACAACTCACTAGCCAGGCCCTGCACACCCTCAGTCTGTGCTCCACTGCGCTGTGTCCCACGTGTGCACGCGCACACACACACACACACACACACACACACACACACGTGTCCTGTGGGCCTCTGTTGCCACTCAGAAGGCTGTTGGGCACTCAGCCCTGAATCTGGGTAGAAAAATAATTCTAGGCCATGAGCGACCGCAAAGTCCTTCTCTACTAAATTATTTTTTAATAGGAAAAACAAAAGGAAAATAAGAAAACAAAAATCAAACCCATTTCCCCCAAATCCTAATTGTGACAACTATGGAGAGTTCCCTTGGCCACGTGTTCACGTGTGGATTATACATGATTCTAATAAAATCGGCAGGAGGTGGAAAATTTTATAGTGATTTCTAGACATGCACTGTCGGATAGAAATCTAATGGGAAGCACATGTGAGATGTTAGGTCTTCTGGTGGCCACATTAAAAGAGTAAAAATATATACTTCCTTATAGTTTTCATATTATATTTAACACCATCCATCAAAACATTATCATTTCAACCTGTAATCAGTGTAAGAAATTAGTAGATTCGTCACATTCTCCTTTTCTCAGAAACTCTTCAAAACCCAGCGCCCAAGTCAGACTCATCTCCGCTCGGCAGATGCTCGGAGTGCTGTCTGCAGGGAGGCAGGGCGAGGGGGCTGCTGGGCACTGCGTGGGTCCCCACGGGAGGAGGAGGAGTCGGACGGGCATGTGACACTCCATGTTTCTCCAGGTTTTAGGTAGGAACCCTGTTCACAGCATTGGCCAAGGGTCGTTCTCGCGAGAAACCTGGCGAGTGGTCTGAATGCTTCTCGGCCGGGTCAGGGAGTGGGTCGGCCTCACTGTGCCTGCCGGAGCCGCAGCAGCCCCAGAAGGGGGCTTACCTGGCTGCTGGGCTGGGCCTTTGCCGTCGGGGGGCCCTTGGCAGCTCTGTGCCCTCTGGTGGGTGGGGCGGTGAGAGGGAATCATGGCAGTGACAGGGGCCCCCAGGAGGAGGTCAGGAGGCAGGTGCAGAGGTGGGAACCTCAGTCCTACAGCTGGGACCTCGGAATGGGGACCTTCCGGGAGCCTCTGGCAGGAATGTGGCTCTGCGGAGACCTTGGCTTCAGGCGTGTGAGCCCCTGAACAGAGGGTGCAGCCACGTCAGCATGGATGCCTGACCCATGGAGAGCGAGGGAACAAACCCCTCATCTCAGGGCTTATTTGTTATGCAGCCAGCACAGCTGCAGGCCAGAGCTGTTGAGCTGTGCCGCCTTGGGCAAGGTGCTACATCTCTCTGTGCCTCGGTCTCCTGGCCCATAAAACAGAATGCAATCCTTAGGGTAGCTGGGGACTGAGCGGGACAGTGAGGGCCCAACAGGAGGTGTGCTGCGAGCTCGGGGGCCCTCACGACTCCAGGGCCTCCTTGTGTTTCTATGGAGGATCGGGCGCTGTCCTGGGGGCCGGGGGCCGGGGGCAGGCTGGAGGCTAACAACCCCAGCACCATCGGCCTCTTCGGATTAGTGGCGGCTTGGCCAGCACCATCCCCAAGCTGGACTGGACGTGTCCCGCCTCCCCCACGTCCACAGCTTTCTCTCAGTCTCCCTGTTCCAGGCCACCCTGTCCTGGTCCATCCTCAGGCTGCCCCGGAGTAGAGACTGTCCCTTTGTCCCCTCCGCCCCTTCCCCAGCAGAGCCACATCAGCAAATGTGCACTGAGCACCTCCTACGTGTCCAGCAGCGCCCTCCACACATAGGAGTGACTATGGTCCCAGCTTCTCGTCTGGTCCCTCCCCCCACAGAAGAGCCTGGTGCCTGGGGCTACGTCTCAAGCAAAATCACTTTAACAATTTTCAGCAGAAAGTGAAAACAGGGCAGTTAGTGCCAACAGAATTCCTGGGAAATCTCCCGTTGGCTGTGGCTGCCCTGGGAGTTCTGGGTTGTCACTTCACCTGGACATCTTGGCCACCGGAACTCCGTCTCCTCCCTCGATTCCTGCCTGGCTGCCTCTTTCTGTGGGAAGAACCTGCCCTCAGCAGTCATGTGGTGGGGATGCTGCAGCCCCTGTGGGAGGGCCCTGGTGTTGGCCTTGGGGCTGGGCCCTGGCCGCCTGGGTCTGTGGTGCATAGTCAAGCTGGTGCGGGGGGCTGGGCTCCCGTGACCAAGCCCTCTCCCGGCCACACTTCCCTCAGGGGCAGCTGTCCAGCCTCTGGCTGAGCTCGCCCACTAGGACGTAAATCTGGGGACGTGGCTGCCAGGAGCGCCCGCCAGCTGGAGGTGTCGCTGGCGCCCTCGTCGTCCTCCCCCGCCGGCCTCCAGCTCACAAAATACCTGGGGCTTACAGTAATCTCTCCCTTCTCCTCTGTCAGCCGGCCAGGCCCAGGGAGGTGCTGTGTTTGGGCGGCTGTGTGAGCACAGCTGGGTCTCCCCCCTCGTCTGTGCTCGGTTTATACACCCAACGCCTTGCAGCTGCTTGGGGAGGGGGGACCCCCCACCCCCATCGTGGGCACAGCTGGAGCAGATTAACCCACCTAGTCTGCCTGGCGGCTGGAGTGGAGGGTCCCTGCCGTGCACCCAGACGCACACAGAGAGACAGAGACCGCCTTTTCATGGCCTGGCCACAGGCAAGCAGCCGAATCAGAAGCTGTCCAGTGTTGGCTGGATTCCTGCGAATCTAACCCATGGTGCGTCCCACACAGCACATCCCCCTTGAGAACAAGGAGCCACATCCGAACCTAGAGGCCCCCCACCCCCCTTCTCATCGCCCAAGGGCACCCTCCAATCTGTCATTTTCTTATGCTTTTCACGAGCTCAAGGGAAACATTCCACCCATTGTTCCCTGTACAGCCGCTTTCCTGCCGGAGCCCCAGGCAGCCTGTGGGGAGAACCCCGAGTGCAGGCGGCTTGGCATAGTCACCCCCAGGGAAGCAGCACGGAGATGCCCGTTCAGCTTAGTGATGAGGGGCCTTGAGGCGATCGGCTGTGAACCAGGATGTGTTCTCCTGGATCCAAAAAGGACTTTCCTTTTTTTTTTTTTTTTTTTAACTTTTGCATTTATCATTATCTCTCTACCCTCACAGAGGTAGCCTGGAATGTATAAGAAAGTCTTTTTCCAAACTGAAAATCTGAAATAGAAACACCAATAAAAACAGATCCCAGATTTATGGCCATGTGTTTTCATCTCTCTCTCCCTGTCTCATATTTTTTTTTTCTCCTCCTAGTTGGGACTCCTGAAAAAAAGCGAGGGAGTGCCCTGCGTGATGTCCCTTTGTCCCCTCCGCCCCTCCCCCGGCTTCTCGGTGGGCGGGCGGGGGGGGGGGGCAGGAGAGGGCTCAGGCCCCTAGAGTCCCACCCTCCCTGCTGTGTGAACAGCTGTTTTGGCAACTCTGAGCAAAGATCAATGTGAGCGTGAACTCAGGACCTGGAAACTGGTGGGAGCGGATCGCTGCGCCCTTCACTGTTTTTCTCTTCTAGCTCCTTCCAGGGCGGCCCACGGCTGCTCGAGCCGTGGCCTTGGGTTCTTCCAGAGGCTTTTCCTCCTTGACTGCTGGGCCCAGCAGCTGCTTTCCAGAAGCTCCGCAGCTGGAGTCCTGGTGTCCGCTCTGTGCTCACTGCCCCCAAACGCACACAACACCCGCCCGGCCGCCCGCAGGCCTGTGCAGAGAGTGCCTGTGCCGGTGGCGACTGCCCCTGGCTCTGAGCAGGGCCCCGCTGCCAGCACCTGGAACAGGGCCCAGGGGCTGGAGGCCCCTCTGAGTCACCGTTTCCATCTCTCACACCCCGGCCCAGTCAGGGCCAGAGCCCTTCAGGGACTCTGACTCCACAGCCCAAGCGGCTTGAGCAAAAGTGCGGGCACCCCTCACTCTTCTCTCCATCGGCGGGGATGTCTGCTTTTTGGGCTGAAGGCAGAAATAGGGGTGAACAATTCCCCAAAGTAGATATTTGCTCCATTTAAAAATGCGCCTTAACTTCCCAGGCACCAAGGACTTCATTTCACAGTATTTTTGCACAAGTGATCTGCAGGGTAGAGCCCTCCCTCCCTTGTGAAAAATCAGAACAGAATTGTGTTGCTAAAGGTACTGTTTCTCCAAGTTAAACACAAGATCACATTTGCTTTAATATTATTTTAAGTGAAAGCAATTAGGTCTGCAATTCAGTTTAATCATTTGCCAGATCCCATTTTACAATCGTAAGCATTTAGGGGTTAAAGCTTTCAGCCTCCTTTCCACTCTGAGTATCGAATGTCCAGGAGCCCGGCGCTGAGGGGTCCAGGAACAGCTGCCCAGCAGAGCAGCCCCGGCGGCTCCAGAAACCAGGTAGGAGGGGCTGGGCACCAGGCCGGGCGGGAGGCCTGGCCGTGCCCGGCGCTCACGTGTCCCTGGTTTCTGTTCAGTTCTCTGCCGTGTGCATACATTAGGACACCCTTACTTTAGCAAGACTTTTTTCCCCCCTATCACTTTGTTGTTTCCTTAGTTTTTATTTTATTAGACATATTTTTATACTCAAAACAACAAACACCAAAACAAGACAGCATTCTTTTTTTTGTTTTGTTAATCCTCACCTGAGGATATATTTCCCCCCATTAATTTTCAGAGAGAGTGTAAGGGAGAGAGAAAGAGGGAGAGAGAGAAGCATCGATGTGAGAGACACGTATTGAGTAATTGCCTCCCACACATGCCCCAACCAGGGCCAGGGAATCGAATCTGAGACCATTCAGTGTAGGGGTTGGCGCTCTAACCACTGAGCAACAGTCCAGGCACAAAACACCAGAGGCATCTGTCCTCCTCCAGATGGGAGAACAGAATTTTTTTGACTTTTTTACTTAGTGTTTAACTGCACAGGTAACACATGTTATTTCACCCACAAATACTTCAGCTTGCACCTCTTGCGATGAGGGCTCCTTTCTCAACATCACACAATATCATTACCATGCCCTCACCATCCTCTCATCCCCCTTCCTCCAGCTTTTGTAATAATGGAAGTGTTGGGCACAGGGTTAAATTTCCCAGGCTCCTTTGCACCAGGGCCCATGCATGCAAGTGGGCATGAAGCGTGCAACCTCCTGGTGGGACCCGAGAGGGGAGGGTGGGCTTGATGGCAGGTGCTGAAGCAGCTGTCCTGGGCCTCGAGGTGAGCAGCACATGCTAGGATGGCCGAGCTTCAACCTCTCACCCACCTCATCGAGGAATAGAAACCAGGTGTCTGCTGGCTTCCTGTTTGGGGGACAGCCATCTGCAGCCCTCAGCTCTCACATGCGAGTATGGCTGCTGCAAAGCTGTCACCCAAGACGTCCTTCATCGTGGTTCCCAGGCCACTAGCCTCTGTCCTGTGTCGGGCTCCAGGTCCTTCTGAGGAGCCGGGCTGTCGCCCGACACACCTGAACCCAGCTTTCCCTCACCACCTGCTTCCATCCTATTGACGGGCACTTCCTCCCCTTCGTCATTGTGGCCATTTTAGTGGCGTTTCATAAGGAAATAATAAAGAACGTGCACCCCCACAACAGTTCTTCCAGGCTTGGCCTTTGAGTTGTTCCTGTCGCTCTGTTGGTGGAGAGACTCTGGCTGAGGAGTCGGAATGAAATCACGTCCGTCGGTTTCTGCGGGACTTTCCTCAAGTCTCAGAGCCTTTTCCTGACGGGGCTTCTGGGACTGGGAGCTCAGGGCCAGCTTCCTCCCTCTGTGGCTCCCTCCTTCTCCACATTGCCCTCCTCTTCTCCTTGGAGGCGACTTTCTCCTTCAGCTCAGATGGGTTGAGATTCACACTGTTCCCGGCTCCCCATGTCCCTGCACAGGACGGGGCAGGAGCACGGAGGGAAGGAAAGGCTGAGTCAACGCAGCTGACAGGTGGGCGGTCCCTGATGGTGAGGGCTCGAGGTGCCAGGGACAGCGCTCTCCGAGGGCCCACACGGGCACCCCGCTGTGCGAGAAGTGCTCCCTGCGTCAGCACCTTGAGGTCAGAGGCCCCAGCCCTTGTCAGACCACTGAGGCTGGCGGAAAGGAAACGAGGAAGTCAGTGAGACTGAGATGGCAGACGCAGTGATAAGAGAGACGAGGACAGGAGGTGGGCAGGCGTCCCCAGGGAGTGTGGGGCTGAGTCACTCAGAGGGTCCGGGGAGGACTCAGGCAAAGAACATCTATCTTGGGGTGCTCAGAATTGCATGTTCATTTTTGCTCAAAGCATTCTAATTCCAACTATGGAACAAGTCAGAGCCGTCAAGGGTGGGGCTGGCGGCCAAGTGGTGTTTTGGAAATAAAGTCATTTCTCAAGTGCCACCTTTCCCAGGACTCCCCCCCAGCCCCCCCCCCCCCCCCCCCCCCACCGTGGCCAAGAGCACATTCAGACAGACGCTGTCATCCCCAGGCCTCCGCCCCCGGAGGACGGGTGCTCTGGTCCTTGTGCCATCTCCACGTGCCATTCTGCCCTGGACCCTGGATGAGGGGCGGGAGGTCTTCGGGGCCCACCTCTGGGAAGTCATGATGTTCAGCTGGATGTCTGCTATGGCCCCTGGAAGCTGGCTTCCAACAAGGGGAGGGGCCCTGTTCCCAGCCCCCTGGCGTCTGGGAAGGAGACAGCGCCCAGGCCGACGGAAGTGAGAACCCCTGCTTCCTGAGTCTTCACTATGTGACCCTTTCACGGCTGCTGCACACAAGTAACAGCATGCAGACGTTAGGAGGACCCAGGCTCCTAGAAGCTGCTGTGGAGGGTGAGTGCGAGCACCCTTTCCAACCACGGCACCTTAGGAGAGCTGAGGACATCTGTGGTCGAGACCTGGGGGCTGTTGTCATCGCCGCCACACGTGCCCAGGTCACTCCCAAGGATCCGGGTCTGACCTGGTCTGGCCGAGTCACGCTTGCTTCGTCTCCACGGCACCCAGCATCCAGAGTGCTTTGGGCGAGAAGCAGAGAGTGGCAGGCAGCTCCTTGTGAGCGGGAGGATAAAAGCTCCGTGTTGTATGTCACGTCACACTGATTGTACGTGAGGACAGCCAAGGCCAAGAGAATGGAGTGCCAAGGTCAGTCAAGGTCGAGCCACATCAACCCTATAAGAATGGCAGCAGGGAAGAGCTGTGGCCTCAAGTGCCATCTGTGCCATCTGGCAGAGAAAAGGCATCTAGAAGTCACTTGCCACAGCACCCGGCGGTCACATTAGCCTGCCTCCCGCTTGTACAGTATTGGGAGGAACAGACCCAAGGAACCCACTAACCTCCTCTCCAGTCCCCTGTTTCTAGGACCAGTGACGTCCTTTTTGTGGTTAGCAGCTTGTCACCACCCATGAGTCCTTAGGTCCCCAAGACTTGTCCTCTGTAACAGGAAGGCTGCTGTCAGTTGTCTGGCTAAGCCGCATCTGTGGCCTCCTGGCCCACATCTCTCTGAACCTGTTTCCACTGGGATGATGTGAAGGGTGTGGGCCGTCCTCCCAGGAGTTGGCCCAGAAGGGCAGGCGTCCGAGCAGCTGCCGGAGGGTCTCTTGGGCCAGGTGCAGAGCCGTCACAGTGGGTGGGGTCATCCCCAGGCTCTGTGAAGCAGCCCTGGCCTGGTAGACCTGAGCCAGGCTCTGCTGGTCTGCATCCTGCACAACCACATCACTATGACCTCCTGAAACCATGCCCCAAACCAGGCAGTGAGACTCACCCTGTAGACCACACTCTGACGACTGGGCTGGGTGACCTCCCTCCACCTCGGACCAAGTGGAAATAATACAGCTTTTTTTTTTTTTTTTTCAAAAAAGGAGGAGGCGAGGGAGGGACAGGAAGACACATGGCTCAAGGCTGATGGCCAAGGGCTGGGTGGCAGGGCTTGTGTGGAAGCCCCCATCCTCGGTGTAATTCCATCTCATGGCGACTTCAAAGGGACCGTTGATTCAAACGCTGGGAACAGGTCAGGAAACGTGGCCGAGTCTGTATGAGAACCAGGGGCCTGAAATGTGCTTTCCATCTACTACTTAGCATTCGGGAAGATAAACAAGGTGTGGTTTAAACAGCAATTTTTAATACCCCTGGGGACCCAGGAGAA